ATAGCGGTAAAGTCAGGGATTTTATTGTATCTCTCACCCAAATAATATACATTGTACCCACTAAGTAATTTCTCATCACCCACTCCACTTTCTACCCTTCCCCTTTTTATTTTGGTAAAGATCTTTACAGGAAGGAAGCTGTTCATTTTCTCTAAGAGAATGGAAAACTAAGAACATTGACAGGCGGAGTCTCAACGTTGTTTCACAATCCTCTCTGCCTGAAGCCATTGCTCAGCATGAGTCAAGTTATCAAGTGGCTCTAATCAGGGCTTTTTTCCTGTGTCTTTTGAAATATTTCATTTTCATAGAATTTCATGAGATTATAAAATCCTGCAGCTCAGTTTCTGAGAGCTTTACTGATTTATCTCTCTACTCAAATCAAGCATTGATTCCTGTATTTCTGAACATCTCAAGATCTAGACTACTGTTCAAGAAATTTCCAGAGAGGTGAGTCCTGTGGGTATTATTTGTAGAGAAGATCTGCATTCTTCCTTAAAATGCACAAGATCATGAAGAGAAAATCAGGATTGGTTCTTCCAGGTTTGGGTGAGGGGAGTAGGGCTGATGTCAACTGTACTCAGGAAAATGAAAACTACAGTTGCTTGGTTTTAATTCTTCACTTACTTAGAAAGATAGTAGACATATTTAATTCCATCACAACTGAGGCCTGAAAAAGTAGAAATGCATTTTGACCATTAAAGATTTTAAGATTAATTTTCTGAGTCCTACTAATTAATTTCCTACCAGATTGATATTGTAATTTGGAAAAAGGCTTTGGTTCTCTTGGCTGGAGGGTGCTCAGGTATTTGGTGACTGTGGTGGGGCCTGGGTAAAAGAGAGTGGTGTGAACAAGATCATGAATATATTAAGTGAAAATCACATCTGGGCATAGAGCTGTATCTTATGGTATTATTCCTATTTCACAAAACATGAGAACAAAAGCACACATAGTACAAAATTTCTCAGTTTCACAATCACTGGTATTCCAATAAGTGGTGTCTTAATATTTTCATAAGTACATATAACTTTTACTTTACCTCCATTCTATACCAGGTATTTAAGGAAATATTTCAGTCATTTTGGAATTACTTTATACCCTCCTGAAAGTTAATGATTTTTTTTGTCTGGTGGCAAGGTGGTGGAGTCAATTAGAAAAAGATTTCTATTGCTACCTTT